ATTTGAACTTCTCTTAAAAAGAAAGGTTTACTTGAAGTACTTTCAAATGTAGCAAATAAACTTTTGATTTCCTTTAATAATATCCTTGTAGAATTGCAAAAATATTGTTTAATTTAAGGTATTTTGTTTTGGGGGTCTGTGTAGTCCAAAAGATGAGAGTGCATGCATTTGATCAGCCACCAATAGTTCATGAACTGTTTTGTTTACCTGTTTCTTTTCTACTGTAAAGAAAGTTTTAGAAAATTTACAGTTACATGCATAGCCCATGTGAGTTTTCTCTTATATGGCCAGTGATCATTTTATATTTAACTGGCACATACAAAGTGTACATATTTATGGTGAACCATGGGATGTTTTGATGCATCTATCCATCTTGCAATGTAATAGCTCTCTATAACTATATTAATGGTCGTCAATAAAACTCAACCCCGTAGCTTCAGACCCCTGGAAGAGGATATGCCAAAGCTTTCAGTGTCAATGGTGATGTTCATAAAGCTTTATTCATTGCAGCGATTTGCAATCAGCAGTGTCTTCATGGCGGAAGATGTGCATTTCCCAATGTGTGTTTTTGCCGCCCTGGATATTCTGGAGTCAAATGTGAAAAGACAATACAGGTATTTTAAAGTTTAAAGGAAAAATTAATATTGCATGCTGAAATCTCAATATCTCTTCTACTTAGTAATCAACTCCTGTTAATGTTTTGCTTCCAAAATAAAAAAAAATAGGATGACTCAAGATTTACTTTTAAAGCTAAAAAACATCTTTCTACTTTTGTTTTTGTTATCTCACTATGCAAAATTTTGATGTGCACTTGAGGATTTCATTGTATATACACACACAGGACAAGAGATCTCTCAGAAATGTCTTAAAGTTAATCTATATATGTTTTATTTTAAAAATGAGTTTTATGCTATTAGTGTTGCAGTTGGCCCAAAGATTATGAATACCAATGTGTCCTGGAATGGCCTAATTTGAAAATTGAGAACAGATTTGCTTAAAACTGGACCCATCTGGTGTAGGAGCAAAATGGGTTTACGTAAATGTTGCTTTCTGTCCCTGGTACTCATATTCGAAGGATATGGTGCTCATTCTGAAAATAAGTTTTTTAGTAGGGCTATGGCTTGAAACTCAAAAACCAAAAGCTTCAGAGTGCTCATGTGGTATTATTTGAGGAAGATAAAAACAAAAGCTTAATTTCTCTGAAGTCAGTGCAAATATAGAATACTTTAATTTTATTTGAGCTTTTCATGGCTCAGAAAACCTCACGACCTCCAAAGCTTTCATCTTTGATAGCACTACACCAGGCTGCATCCCCGTATTTCTCTAGCAGCTGAGTCCTTACGTGGCTGACAGCAGGTTACCCTCATCCCTGTTAATGTCGCTTGTGCTATTACATCTGGAGTTCAAGGACCACAAGCACAGATGGCGGGAAAGGAGGCTAGTCCTGAAAGTACTTCCTGCTTAACTAAATCTTGATACCCTGAAATCTTACCTTGAATCTGGCTTCATGCCGTTGTTCCTGGGTACCTTCACTTTTACTTGCTTTGAATATTTCTTTGGTTTT